TTATTCCAGCTGTTCGCTTTCATGACAGCCTCGAACTGGATTTTGTAGGCCGACCAGGAAGAACTCCCGTCGAACGGCGACACTTTGAATCCACGTAGCGAAGGTGTTGTAGCTACTACGGGAGCTGTAATTCCATCCCCAAGTTTGAGGTCGTCCAGCGTTTTCTTCACATCAGCCATCACGTTGTCAACCCGATTGTTCACTTGGTCGATTCGGGTTTCAGCTTCCGACAGGCGGTTGTCATGTTGAGCAACCCTATCCTTTACCTCCTTTATCTTTTTCCCGAAGGTAGCGTGAAGGTCCTTCCTGAGGAGCATCTGTTCGTCCATACCACGCTGCAGCTGCTCTTCCAACCGACGGGTCTGTTCCTCCTGTCGGCGGGCCTGTTCCTCCTGTCGGCGAGCCTGATACTGCAGCATCATCATCAGAGCACCTAAGTCAGGTGCTGCAGATGCAGGTGCTGCTGACGGGCCGGCCTCCGTGGTTAGCAGCTGGCACTCCGACATTTGCGGCGTTGCATTACCAAATCGTCTCTGGTCCGTCTCCTGTTGGCGTTGACTTCGAGTACGGATACCCACTGTGTCGTCTTTAGGTAAAATCGGCATATTTGATCCCACTTCTGACACCAATTGTTACAAGCTTGGGGTTCGAGACAATTAAAAACTGCCGATTGTATTATCAAAATTGACACTTTAATTACACAACACTAATTACAATCTAAAATCACACTAATAATAAAACACAGTTCGCCGTTATTTCGCTTCGAAGTATTCTCTTGTATCGCCAATTCAATACGGCCCGGTCGTGGTCTATACCGGCCTTATATAGGGCCTCAGATAGTTTCCAGAATCTTCTACTGTAGCGACATCTAGAATGTTCGAGTACATATCGGTCCCGAAATTTCTGGAAGGATCTCGACTCTCCTAGTTCTGCTACTCGACACTAGAGGGCGCTAGTGTAACTAGTGTTGCCATGTACAAGACATTAATAGTGGCGCGCAACACTTTCTTTTACTCGACACTAGAGGGCGCTAGTTTAACTAGTGTTGCCATGTACAAGACATCAATAGTGGCGCGCAACAGTAACAATAAAAAGCGGCTAATTTATGTTGCCACGGATGACACGATGACGCGGGGATGACCGTGTCGGTATGAGTTCGCTTTCGATAAATTTGGAAAACATGTGACGATTCTCTTCTTGTTATTGTTAAGTCGAGGAAATTAAGGGAACAATCTTGATCCAATTCAAATTTAAATTTAATTTTGTCGTGGAGTCTATTTATTTTATTGAGGAAAACATCCAGTTGTCTTGTGTCTTGTGCCAGTCCAGCAAATAATTATGTCGTCTACATATCGATAGTGATATAAGATATTTTGATTGACAACTATATGTTATTTTTCGAAATTATCCATGAAAATGTTCGCCATAAGGGGACTTAGAGGGGATCCTATAGCTAACCCTTCTTTTTGTAGATATAAACGGTTATTAAACCGGAAATAGTGTTTTTTCATACAGAGAGAGGTTAAGTGACTATTCCATGCGAACGACCTTGATCATTCGGTCCGCCGACTCGCTACAATCTTAGAGTATTCAACTGACAGGAGACGCCATGCACATAAAGTTCCAAACAAAAAAGTCTGTCACTTCTAGCGGGAGGCGAGGTAACGCACACTAAGCAAATCGTAAACATTGGACCACGTCGTTACGCACGCACACAGCATAATATGAGCACACGATTAAGCAAAACGCACACAACCTTGAAAATCTCTCATAAATGTCTCATCGTTACAGTGCATATGGCATAAACAACTAGTGCGAGGGCCTTGTCGATATGGATATGTCGATGAAATTTTATGCAAGTTACATTAGCAAATTAAATAAAATAAAAATGAACAATAAGACAAAAGTATGTTTAATGTTTATGTTAAAATTAATATTACATTCAAAGTAAATTAAAAAAATACATAAGGTACAAAATAATAATACAAAATTACCAAAATTAAAACAAAGTGAAAAAGTATTATATTATGTTTTACTGAATACTAAAGCATCAGTGGCCTCCTCTGAATTGTCAGAAATGAAGTCAAATCCATAATTAACATAACCAAAATGTCTTTTTGAACTTGCATGGTACTCCGTCAATTGTTTTATTTTCATTTCATCTATCACTAATGTACTATACAATTTTTTGTCAGTGTTGCTCTCTGCTCTAAGTTTTAAAGCAGCTAACGCTTCCTTTGTGAAGTCAGGTCGGCCATCAATTGTACTATACCACTTTCTTATAGTACGTGGTGAGGGCAGACATGTTCCAAATATTTTTCGCACATATCGATAAGCTTTCGGTGAATGGTAATGTAAAGTTAAAGCAAAACATCTGAGTTCTGGAGAATACTTAGTCCTAGGTAGATGCCCCTTTTTGATTTTAAGCAGTTGTCTGTTTATGAGTTCATTTTGTTCAACCCAATATTTTGTAAACAACTTTACTTTCTTTACTTATCAAAGATTTTCCGGATAGTTCATTTAATAACTCTTGCAAACCAACAACTTTTTTTTTAAATAGCGTTTTTGTGATTGGATTTATTTTTTGTTGTAAGTGTTGCTTCAATTTTCGTTTTCGTGGTGTATCTTATAATTTATGTGTGAAAACTTGAGGAAAGTGTCAAAGGATCGTGTTCCGAAGAAGATGCAACCAGTTTTAAGTCACTCGCTATAGTCTGAGGTAGTTTTGATGTCACAAGCGATTGCTTATCAACTTTTCGTTTTTTAATACTTTGTTCTTCAAGATTAACAAACGTGCATGGTTTATTCTAAAATGTAATAAAGACTTATAAATAAAAATTTTTGCAAATGGAGTTACAAAAAGGGTTTAAAAACTCAAACAAGGAACATTCAAGTACTTTCTACAGTTAAACTTTCTCATAGATTAGATAAGATTTACAATATTTCTTATGCTTGGAAACAAATTAAATTATACTTCGAATATTCCAGATGTTACTTACAATTTATGTTGTTGAAGTATAATTCATTAATTTTATTTATATAAAAATTACTATTTATGTCTGTAAATCTGAAGTATAAACATGATGAAATTGAAAACATGTGACAAATCGCAATGAGGGGGAGGGGGGTTCAATATCTATTATTTATTAATTTTGCAATGTTATTTAATAAGTATAAAAAAGAACGAATAAATTATTTCAATGTTATTTAAGATAAAGTCGATGAGTAAATTCCTACTTTAATTTTATGCGCTGATAACTCGTGTCTTACCTAAAATAAATACTTGGTTAACACTGAGATTATTTGTTTGTCCTTATTTATTTATTTAAGCGCTAATAATTCGTGTCTCATCTGAAAACAACAATTTGGTTGACACCATCTAAGACGATAAACTTGTAAATAACATTTTCAAATGAATAAATATCGTTCACTAAACCTTCCATTTCGATTTGTTACATGTTTTAAATTTTATCCTTCATAATGTAAAATAAACCTAATAAACTTACTTCCAATAATTTCAAAGTCGGTACAGCAGTTCCATTTAGTTTCCTTTTATGGTTTGATTGGATTACGAAAACCGATTGATCAAAATGCTCGGAACAAATAGTGCTTGTTCGTTTAGGTACCCAGGTTATATGATTGCCACATGCTTTTATCCAAACTGGGTGCTTGTAAGGATCTTTTGGAAAACTATAAAACCAAAGATATTTTTTAAACATTGTACAAAAAAGAATTTTAAATAACACCTTGGTATTATATATCAAGGTATTACTTATAGTCAAATAAAAACATCGACACTAAAGATTACAGTGAACATCACTATTATTGTCTTGATGATACCATTTTATATACCCGAAATTCCCCTTCTTTTCGTTTCATAACGTAACATAACGAAGTGAAAATATCTATTTAAAATGTTTTATATACAAAAAAAACAATTTAAATTGATGTTTTGATTTCGTTAATAACAATTAAACATAATTAAAGATTATTAATGTTGTTTGAAATAATATAGTTTTGCAAATAGATCAGAATAATATTGATGAATTTAAGACTATTCAATAACACGATTTTGTTTTGTGTAATTAGAACAAAGAAAAACGACATTTGTCTACAATTAAGCAAAATTTAATTATGTCCTAGTGGCGCAAAAGCCCTTACTATAAGTATTAATACTTTAAGTTGGCAAAACTACCTGCTCAGCTATATTAATCAGAATTTTCGTGATTTAATGCTTATATTAATTATTGAAATCAAAATAAATAGTTACAAGTGAAAGGTAACGCCGTCTTTTTGTTAATTTGAGGTCTGTGATCTTTTTTTACAAGAAAACACACTGCAACTCGCATTTTTCTGGAGGTTAACTCACGCTTACGACTACTTAGTAACTGACGTCGTACGCGGCGCAACTAGTTTTATATAACGGGAATGATCCGCGCTCTCGTACTTTTGACAGCGGGGAACGCTCTCCAATGTCGTCTCCTCTTAGTTTAATACTCTAAGGCTACAATATATCGCGTAAGAAATATACAAGACGCCATCTCTGTACGAACGTAGTATTATTTTTTCAACATCAATAAACTATTTTATGGAAATACATACGGCGTACAATGATAATGGTATTTTCATTTTAGTATGGGAGTGAAGTATCTGTTACGTAGTAGCTAATTTGCGTACTTCCTCGTACTTCTACCGTTATTTAGTAATGTTTTTACGTAGACTTATTGTACTTTGTAGAGCTGTCTTTTCTTTGTTGAATATCAATGACAGACTTAGTATTCAATGACCTAAAATTATTCTTTGGTTATTGGTGGAAAAACGGGTAGAATCTACTATCTAGTCTGTGGTGGAAAATCGAGATTTACAAGTGGCAACACAGCATATGTCAAAAATTTAATGTTAATTTTATATACACTCTTACTTATCTATGGTTGATTTCAAGTTGATTTTGATTGATAATTTCAGAATAAGATCATAGTAAAATAGTAAATAAAAATATAATGGCTACAATGATAACATCTTGGAATCCAGAAAAGAAACATAGTGATGTTGAGAGGTATTATAAAATAATATTTGGTTTTGGATTCTAGTTTTACTAATCAATTTAGTTTGATGTGCTGACGTATGTAGATTATTGCTTTAGTTTAGTTTATTGTTTTAGTTTAGTCAGACAATTGTGTTATTTTTTGGATCTGGTACACGTGTTTTTACTTAATATTATATTCAGGACAGATAAGGTCGAAGCTAGTAAGGTCGTTAGTAAGCAAGCTAAAAAGCTACTAAACGTTTATCTACGCTTATCAATGCTTTTAAAGGGCTTAATAAGTAATGAGAGGAATCTTACACATACATCATAATATATTGAATAAAATATATTAGGTAATGCACTAGCCTACTATTTTCTCTTGATATCTTCTAAAAGATAAAAGTATGAATTATAAGTAGGTATGGTTTTTTAAGGATTACTAGTAAACATTTAATCAGTGATACTTTTGAGGCATTTGCAAATGTAGTTTATCTTTCAAATCCTTGTAACTATTTGTCGGTATCGAGAAAATTATTAAGTTTTAAGTGTAATTTTGTAAAGCTTTAATTTCTTTTATGATTTGTTCAACTTTTGCAGATGGGTGTGTATTTATCCTGCATATATAAATAGTAAAAAGACTCTTGCTGAAGGACGCAGATTGCCAAAATCATCCTGTGTTGAAAATCCAACACATCAGGAAATAAGGGATGTGTTGCTAGCTACTGGCCTTCGAGTGGGTGTTGAAAATAAGTTGTATCCAAGGGAACGTAGTAAGGCAAGTGATTATAAAAGTTAAAAGTAAGGTGAATACAATATGCTACCTTTGCTGGGTACAGCCCTTCTCTTGTTTCTATGAGGTTTATCAAAGCATAGAGAAAAAAGCCCTGAAGTTCTTAGAAATATATTTAATTGCTACTAGATGAAATCGTCCTCTAGTTCTCTCTCTGTAATTGTGATCAAAAAACCCATATAATTGAAATTAACAATTTCCATGGACCTAGCAGACAAGGTTTACATGGGGATAACATATACGTTTATATGATCCAAGGCGAGCATATTTGTATTATAAATAATACATATTATATTATATTATTTTAACAATATTTAATAAATTTGTTCTGAGAACATACTGTTCATGATTTTAGGAAATATTGTACAGGGGCAGAATTCGTGTACAAATAAAAAATGATGACGGTACACCTATAAAACCTGAGTTTAGTACAAGAGAATCTGTTATGAAATATATTGGTGAATCGATACCTAAGTTAAAGACTCGACAAAACAGGTGAGCTGTAAAATAAAAACATTTTAATAATTATTGATTAAAACAATTATTGGTGCCATGTAGTGATGGCATGGGTTAACCCGCTATTCTAAGTCATCTCATGGGTGTTGTAACAGGAGACAGAGGAAAACTGAAACATAAGATGGGCTGTAGTATCTTCCTCATAACATCTTAATGATTATAAAAACTGCAGTGCTAATTCGCCTGCCAAGCGTGTCAACTATGGCAGATATCTCCCCTATTAGATAAATTCTTTTAACGAGTTGTAATGATGATAACATATTTTTAATATATTTAAGACCTCTAACAGGAAGTAGGATTAATATGTTTCTTTATGTTCCGTTGCTGGGCACATGTCTCTTCTAATTTCTGAGAGGGATTTAGGGCAAGGGAATATCCAACGTCTTTCCCCAGTGCATGTTGGCCGACTTCACATGTCTTCAAAATATTATTTTTATTTTATTTTAAAAAAAGACCTATGGTTAGTTGTTCTCAGGTTAAGTGCTTAGTGTAAACTTCAAATCATGTGAACAGCTCAGGTTTGATTATAAATGATTCGAATATAAATGTCTGGGATATAAAATACCTACCGAACCGAACAGAAGCAAAGCTTCATATAACTGCACTATAATAAGTACACTACTACAAGTTAGAGGCGTATGTGTGCGTGAGCACTGGTGTCTTGTCTCATACAGAGAGAAACCGGTTTATACGGGATCGGACAGTGTTCAAGGGTGTACACTTCGCATGTTGTGTTTGTTTGTTATATATATTAAAACGTGTGCAAGATTCTATATGCCATGTGAGTGATAATTATTAGATTTATAAAAAACGGGTGCTGTAAATCACTCGAATCTTTGGGAGTTAGTGATTAAATCCGTAAAATTAGTTTCATTTAGTCGTATTTGTGTAAATATAAGAAATCATTATAAAAAAATACTTTTTTAAAAATTATTAAAATAAAATATTTAAAGTAAGTAGTTTTTAAAAATATTCTATCATAGATAGACATAATAAAGAGCTTTTAAATGTTCTGTTTATTTAATATTATCCTCCTGTGCCAACCCTACCAAAATAGGTAAACATTTTGCATGCTCTTTAGAAGCTTTACCTCTGTTCGGTTTCTTTACTCATGTGCCATTACAGCCTGCATATTATATAACTAGTATGAATAATATAAAATGACTACACTGTCATTTTTCTGAGGCCATAGATGTTTTATAATAAATTTACTCAACTCAACAAATTTAGAAGCTGTTCAGTCTGCTCTTTTATAATCATCTTTTTATCCTGCTCTGTACAGTAACTTTTAAATAGTAAATAAACAAATTGATTATATTTATAGCCATAGTCTATACATACGTTTTTAATTTAAACTCTATTAAACTTTTCAGACCAGTTGATCAGCAGCCACAGACTACTCAAGCTAGTAGCAAAAGCAAAGGCAAGAAGGGTCGGCGATAATTATAATTACGTGCTCAATATACATTTTTTCTTTTAATTAGATAAAGTAACTTATTATTGCCCACCACCACCATCCTAAATTACCCAAACTTAAAATTAGTTCTTAAAACAATTATAAAATGACCTTTTTATTCAATTACATATTTTAAAATTTGGCTACCAACTAATACTAATAAAAAAAATACATGGAAAACATGTTTACAATATGCCACTGCTTTGCTGTATGCATTACGAATGATGAAACAAACCGGTTTGTTCGAATGCGTGGTACCTATGTCGACTACAAAGCGAGACCCGCCGAGCGTCTTGTTATGAGTAGAAGGGCGCAATCGAATTTGTCGAATTATGTAAATCCTGAGCACACGTCGTCATCGAGTACCGGAACAAATTTTGTTTAACAAAGTCTCCCTTGGAGTTGTCTAAATCTAGTTCAGTTAAACCATAACAAGACACAGATTTGCGCGTTTACTGTAGTGTTGCCCAAATGCAAGAACAAGACGAGACTTAGCAGGTCTTGGTCTTGGTCTTGCGCCTAAACACCTAGTCTTGGTCTTGGTATTGCGCTCCCAGTCTTGGTCTTGGTCTTGCAGCAAGAGTCTCGCAAGTCTCGCAGCTTGATTGTTAAATGTTACTTTAGATCTTAGAACAACTTAACAGAGTAGGTACATATTGAGCTTGAATTAACATAGCCATAGTAAAGACCAACCAAATTAATAAATGTCTAAACATTTAACGAGAAATTCGAAAAATCAACTGACACCGGGTGGGGTTTGAACCCACGACCTAAGCGATCCGTGCCGATGCTCTAACCAACTGAGCTATCTACCGTGTCCCACGGCCACGGGCGTCAGTCTGTTTCTTAATAAACGTTTACATTTAATATGCTTACATGTGCAAAAACATGGTTAAACATTTACTTACTTACTTACTTATCTTCACGCACAATCCCTGACGGGGTAGCCAGAGAGAACAGATCGCCAAGTGTCACGATCCTTACAAACCTCTTTCGCTTCTTTCAGATTCATTATCTTCTTCATGCATGCACGTCTAGGTATCCGAGTACTTTTGACCCTACCCTCTTCGAGCAATTTGCTCACATGGTCTTCGAAAGTTAGTCTCGGTCTACCTCGACACCTTTTAATATTAACTTTCGCGCTATATATTTTCTTTTAGTTAAACATTTAAAACCAAATTAATAACTTCACGGTATTTTATAGAACATTATCTGTCTAGAAAGAGATTAATGGACCCTCACCATATATGAAGTGGAATAAAAGAGTTATACAATATACTATTTATTTAAATAAAAAATAAAATACGATACAAATTAAATTACTTCACAGTACACAATAGCTTTGACATTACTGTTACTTTATATTAATTCTTTTGACCAAGCATTAATATAAAGTAACCATCTGGCTGACTCATCATTTAACCTATTTCTATGTTTTGTAATTACTAATGATGCTTTAGAAAATAATCTCTCAGCAGGTATTGAAAGAAAATCACGGGCCATCTTCGATAAAATCGGATATTTTGTCTCATGCGTCCTCCACCACTCTAAAATGTCTTCCGAGCTGGCGGCTCTGGGTCTACTTAGGTACTTCTCCAAATTGTTAATAATTGAGCCTTGAAGACAAGATCCAGATCCATTTTTACACATTTCAAGTGTTTTAAAAGTGTCTACAATATTTATCGTGCGTGCCTACAATTTATTGGGATTTTGCTATGGGGAAATGCGGCTGATTCAGAAACTATTTTTGTTTTACGGAAGAGGGCCATTAGCGCTAATTATAATTTAAAACTGAGTCTCTTAGAGATAAATTTAAAGAAATAATATTAACTTTGGCCTTTCAGTATATTTACAAAAAATTTATGTACGAGGGTGGATTGAAAAGTACTCGGCCTAACCAAGAAAATAAACAAATACTAAATCAGTTATATTTTTATTTTTCTACATAATCACCATCAAGTTCAATACACTTTTGCCACCTCCCCTTCCAAGCATTTAGACCGTTGAAAAAAAATGATTCTTCCTTAGAGTCAAAATATGCGTCTACAGCTGCTTTGACCTCGTCGTTTGTCGGAAATCTTTGACCTCCCAAGTGCTTTTTTAGGTTAGGGAACAGAAAGAAGTCTGATGGTGCCAGATCAGGTGAATACGGCGGATGCGGTAACAGTTCAAAGCCACAGTTGTGAATTTCAGCCATTGACTGTACTGACGTGTGAACACGGGCGTTATCTTGATGAAACAGGACTTTTCTTCTGAGCATTCCTCGACGTTTTTCTTTTATTTCCTCTCGTAAACGACGTAGTAAGGTGCAGTAGTAATCAGAGTTTATATTCTGACCCCTTTCAAGATAATCAATCATAATCACACATTTCGAGTCCCAGAATACTGAAGCCATCACCTTATTTGCCGACAAAATCGACTTAGCCTTTTTAGGGGGTGGTGAACCAGGTCTTCTCCACTGTTTTGATTGTTGTTTTGTTTCCGGTGTACAGTAATGAACCCATGTTTCGTCCATAGTAACAAAACGATTCAAAAAATCATCTGCATCGGCTTCAAATAACTCCAAACAGTCGTGTGAAATAGTCAATCGCGTCCTTTTTTGTTCAACTGAAAGCAGTCGCGGAACCCACCTCGCAGACACCTTGTGGAAACCCAACTCGTTGACAATGATGTTTTGAGTTCGTTCATAAGAGATGCCTATAATCTCGGCTATCTCTCTAATTTTTAATCTGCGGTCTCCCATTATTAAATCAAGTACTTTTTTAATATTTTCGTCAGTAGTTGACGTCGAAGGCCTTCCAGAGCGGGGTTCATCTTTCACACTCTCTCTACCACGCTTAAATTCTGCTATCCATTTTTTGACGGATCAATATGACAGAGCACAATCGCCTAATGTACTGACCATGTCATCATGGATGGCTTTTGATGATAGCCCCTTCTTATGGAGGTACTTAATGACGGCACGCTGCTCGATTTGCTCCATTCGCGGAAATTATGTCCGATTACTTTGTTAATAAATTTATAAAATCACAACTAATTATCGCACACGTTTCGAACTTCACACAATGAACTAGTCTGAACTGAACTAAATAATGTGGGTAGATTTGATTTTTAGAATTGAATGGATCTGTGTTAGGCCGAGTACTTTTCAATCCACCCTCGTATGTTCACAAAAACAAAGGTAGTTTTAGTAAAAAAAGTGATATACATTCTGTAAACACTAGGAACAAACACAAGCTAGTGATACCAGTTTCTCGACTCCACAGAGTCGGTAATTCATTCTTGGGGCAATATATACGCTATTACAACAAGGTCCCAGAAAGTGTACAGGCTCTCTTTATTACCAAGTTTAAATGTTTTGTTAAACTGAAACTGTATAAAAAGGGTTATTTATAGTATAAATGAATACATGGTTGATAATAACCTCTGGAAATGAGGTGGTCGCTTCCAAGCAGTTTCTAAAATAAATTTTGTGAATAGTTTGTAATCATTTATATTGTAAAGTTTATTAATTCTATCCTATCCTTACCATTATCTTATTATAATATTCCTTGCGAGATTAGCATAATGTATTGGTGTCCATTCTGAGCACCCGGAAACTTATTTTATTCTTTGGAAGATGTACTCTGTGGCGGCAATCAAACAGTGTCAAATGTAGTGCGTGCGGCGTGGCGGCGACGATTGTATGCGATATCAATAGTAGCCACCGGTACGTGTATCTTGACCTTATACTTTCTAATAGCTGCACAATTTCTTCGATAGGCGCTATCAGACCTTTGACGCCGACAACAAGACGCCGCGCACTATCAAAGTGCCGATGGTCAAAACTAGGGATGCACTCTTTTTTCTTTTAAAGGATATTTTCGTTCGCTATGTATGTTTATGGTATTGTTCGTAATGCGCATTTTTTTCCAGTCTTTTTTCAAGTCCTATTTTCCATTTTTTCTAAATTATATTTTTTTGCGTCTCATAGATTCCCTAAACGTATACCCGAACTCCTATACTCCCTGAAACGACACTCAGTCCTAACTGCAAGACGCAAGAGTCTCGCAAGCTTAGTCTTGTTCTTGCGCAAATCTTGCACGGTCAGTCTTGGTCTTGGTCTTGCTAAAAATAGGCGCTCTTGTTCTTGGTCTTGGTCTTGCAAAAATGCAAGAACTAGACCAAGACTGCAAGACCAAGACCGATTTTGGGCAACACTAGTTTACTGTTATAAGGAACACCTTTGTCGTATGACCCATTTTCAAGCCACTGCACTTGCTGCCTCAGACAGGCCTCGTCGTCTCCTCGGCGTCGACGTGTCGAATGAATTCCGCACTTGTTACTTGGAAAGGATGGCTTAATGGACCTAAAAAGTTTAATGTGCTCAGCAGAGTGGGACACTATTTTTTGCCGGAACACCGCTTGCAAATTTACAAGGTACAGGTTCGGCCTTACACGGAATACTGTTCTCATTTCTGCACCGGGGTACCCTAGCGCCAGCTCCTTCCACTAGATCGCATTTGGCGGAGAGCGGCTCGAATCGTCGACGATCGAGTTATTTAAAAAAAAAATACAAAAAAACACGCTTTTGTAGTTTAGTTTAGCGGCACTAAAAATGGAAAATAAATAATAGTTTAAAAAAAAAACCGAAATTAAAACGCTTTTGTAGATAACCGAACTAATCAAAACTTATTATTATTATTTACATTTTACTCTTTACATTCATTCATACTAAAAGTTAATTTAGTTTTAACAAAATAATGATGAATTTCATATTTTCATAGTCTTCTATCATTTTACGGTATAATGTTTATTTGAGATGTTTTATTCATATCATTGGCCCTATTTAATATTGATTGGCACCATAAAATAGATGTAGATATTTTTTTACGTTCGAGTAGTCTTCAAAATTTCATAAATGCAGTTCTATAATGATGTATACTACACATGGAATAAAACTAATGTTACGGATTTTATCACGTTTAATTTCAACTTTTTTTACGTG